AAATTTAACTGAACAACTTTCAAACTGACTAATCACATCAGAGAAACAGCTTATTGATAAAAAGAAATTACTATAATGCTGACTAACTATGTCATATATTTATTGATTACATCCAGTGCATGTGTGCTAGCTTTTCTGGTATTACAAAGCATGTAATATGTAGAAGATAATAATTCAATAATTAAAATGTTTGATAATTTTGCCAAATTACTACTCACAAAACATGAAAATTAAAATTCATCCAGGCAAAGAAAATCCCATTCCTGCTGGTCAGTACATTACAAGCAGTGCATTGTGACAATGTGTTGTTACAAATGCTAGTAGGGGGACAAATGGGGGTTTGGGATGCAGAGTATTAGGTGAAAGGTAAAAGAGTTAAAGCAGCAAATGGAAGTTGGATAACTACCACAAATACCTTTAGAGCAACAACAGCTGGTCATGTCACCAGTCATGGTTTCCCCATATGTGTGGCTGAGGACAGTGTCCGCTCTAATGTGAGCACACTGACAGTAGCTTCCATTATTCAGACATTCAGTGCAGACGCTGTGCTGACAGCACATTTTGCAATGCACACCTTAGCTACAAAGCTTGCTTTCTGCGTGCTGTATATAAGCAAACAGTGGCTCTGTGGATTCACGACTACATTTCACGTGTGTGCTATGAAATGGGGATAAACTCACAGAATAGTGATGATGCACTAAAATAAAACCGTTTGTGTAAGTTTTTACTCGTGTGCACAACAATATTCAAAAAATAATTGAGAGCACAACTTGACATTAGTAAATGACATTCTGATTGTATTTCCACTTTTAATTAACAGACTGAAAGTGAAGTGACCCCAAAGCTATTGTGATAATTAGCTTTTAGGCAGCTCATATAGAAAATCCATTGTCCTCAAACAAATACTAATGTGCTTTTGTGCCCACATCTGTCAATCCTACAGTACACACAGAAAAAGCCTCCACTCACTGTTAGTTTTATTGTTGTACTGGCTACATGTAGTCAGTGACTAGCTCAAGGAAGAAAAGAAAAGCTGCCCGGTTGCTTCAGTAAATGTAGATAGACAGAGAGAGTAATGCAGAGTATAGATTGCTGCAGTGGATATATTGCTGTTCGGAGCAGAATGTGCCCAGCAGAGCAGAATTAGTCTATCAACTAGCATAAGATAAAGCTTGAAAATATCCAGTCAGATAATGCACGGTCCTGGATATTGACTGCAGCAGAGCACCACAAAGCATCTTAATGTGAAGGTTATTGGTCGATCTGTTTGCATCGGATGTTGGGGAGAGAGAGCTTGGGAGCCAACCCAATGAACCTCATCCTCCTCTCCCTCTTTTATTCTGTTTCCCAAGAATCTTGTTGACTTGTTATTAATTTTGGCTTCATTTGAAGCCACCTGGTTATTCCAATCACTTCTCTCCAATCACAGATTCCATTCTGGAGGGAACAGCTGCAGGAGCCAAAGACAAACACAAGGCTTACGCACTCTTGTTTTATTTGGACAAAGTAGAGTATAGAACTGTTGGTAACATTTCCATTTAATGACGCTGGTTAGAAACTTTATTTGCTTTCTTTCTAAAACGCAAGCATGCCTAAGGGGTGCATGCTTCTGTGGGGAGAAAGCATTCATTTAACCAAATAGTGTTACCTTGACCATACGACACAATAATGACAACAACAACAACAAAGACAAATATGTGTTGAACAAGAAATCTACACACTCAACATGCAGACAATTAACCAGCCCAGTGAGCCTTGTTGGAGCTCCACCTTGTGCCTTTTGTCCCCGCGCTCTGCTATTTCCTCCGAGGCAAGGTTTTCTGCCTGTCTATGCATAACTACTGCCCCCCTATGGTCAAAGCCATTCACTCACTTGTTTTACTGCACTGCAGCAGGCCCACACTCAGTGTAGAATAAAACAAGTCTAATTAGATCCTAAACCTTTCTTCTTTCTGAAAGATAAGAATTTAATCAATACAGCTTCAAGATTCCCTGTTTAAAAGCACCTTCTGCTCACTCGTGTGCTTATTGCTTGCACATTTCAGTGTTTGTGCTCTACTGTGCTCTATGTGCAGAAGACACAGGAAAGTTTTTTTCCCTTAAATTCATTTACAGGAAGTTACTCTCTGATAGGTTTTGTAGTATTATTGTGCTTACTATACACTTTACATACTTTATGAGACCACAAGGAATTTGCCACTTGCAGAATTGTAGTTCTTTTTCGGTTTTTCTAAGATACTCCAAGTTGTCTAGTGAACTAGCAAACATTTTAACCATTAAGCTAATCCTTGTTGTTATTTTCGGTTGATGAATATTGAATATTTATGAAACAAAACAAATAGAATATTTTTTGTGGTTGATCAGTTCAAACAAAACTCAGAAAGAAACCATCGATTTGTAACATAATGTATCACGACTTAATATATACATTAACATGATGTCTGGGGATTAAAGTGGGATAAGGCATGTGGGGGAACCCCAAGTTGAAGTGCAGCAGGGGAAAATAATTATATAGAAATAAGTCACATAACGTGTTCAGTGAGCTCCAGTAGGTTTTTCATTGTGTACAGACTCAGCTGATCTGTGCTGCGACTGCTCGGAGGCTTCCTGTTTTTTGTGGATTGAGTGACCTGAATTCAACAAGATATCAGATGTTACACAAACTATGTGACTAATTTCCCAACTCTAGACAGAATAGAGCATAAAAGTCAGAAATCAGCAAGGGAATCTGCATCAGCATCATCACTTTAAATTTAATTTGCTAAGTTTGTAGCCTAACATTAACCATGAACATCACAGCTGTCCTGCGAGTTCAGCATTGTGCATCACTGTAAACTTCATCACAATGCTGCAGACCAACCAGTTCAGCCTGAACCATAGTGTACTAAAGTGCTTGTTTACTTAGTTTTACAAAAACATCAGAAACACATCATGTTTAGGTCCAATATCTGATTTAAGAACTCTAATAATGAACTAGAACTTTACGAGTAAAGTTCTAGTTTCTAGTTTATAAAATTTTACTTGCTCAGCAGGCCTTAAGTTTGAAAATAATCTCTCACCTTCCTCGCCTGTAGTGCCTTACATGTTTCCGCATCTCTCTGTGCAACACATTAACTATAATTTTTTTTCTCTCTCTCTCTGGAGTCCTTCATTGGAGAACTCATCACATCAACTCATCTGCCTGCCCACCCCCCGTGACTCTGTTCGCAGGCGTAAAACAGACTAGTGGCCATCATCCAAGGAGGCTTCCTGGATAAACCAGTAATCAACCTCCCTCACGTCAAATTTTAGCCATTAAAGTGGTCTTCCGGTTCGCTTTAGGCCCTGCTGACAAGACTTGTCAGTGCCCCCTCTTTCACCCCCTGCAACCCCCAACCATCAGCCAGCAACCCATCATAACCCATCACCAGTTCGAGCCCCGGCTCTGACAGTCTTGATTGTAGTGTCCTTGGGCAAGACACTTCACCCATTGCCTACTGGTGGTGGTCAGAGGGCCCAGTGGTGCCAGTATCCAGCAGCCTCACCTCTGTCAGTGCGCCCCAGGGCAGCTGTGGCTACAATGTATCTTGCCATCACCAGTCACAGTCAAGATTTGTGTGAATGGGTGGATGACTGAATGTAGAGTAAAGTGCTTTGGGGTCCATAGGGACTAAGTAAAGCGCTATACAAATACAGGCCATTTACCATATAGTATCATCAGCACAAAGCAGTTATTATCAATATGTCCTGAAACACATTTCACACAGTTTTACTCTACTCACCTTAAACTATAAGTTATCTATTTCCTTCCAATCTACATCACTTCTTTTTTTTTACTGGACATGACAATATAACGACAATTAAAACCATAAAAAAGAATCTTACTCAGTACTGGTGTAAACTTTTAAAAAACCCTAACACAGAGAAAAAAAGTCTTTCTTGAGTCAATCAGATGAGAAGAGACAATGGCGTGTTTGTTTATAGTATTGTTTCATAGATGGGTGTCCTTGCTGGATTCCGGGAAAGGAACAAAACTTCCTCTGCTGCAGTCGCAGTCTCAGTGAAAGCAGACAGGCTCTCGGCGTGAGTGCATCATGGAGAGACCTGTTGCGGTGTCGGTGCGCAGGAGTCCCTCACTACCAGATTACAACACCTCGACCTCCACCTTGGCCTTTGACCAGCATTTCACTACAACTCTCAAAGGAATTCTCCTCCAGGCTGAGATAGTAAGTGTGACTTTTGAGTTTATGATCCTTTATCCTTGTACATTATCAGCACTGCTAAAATCAAGCTAATGACCAGAAGCAAGTGATTATTCATTCAGGAATCCTTGTCAGGAAGGGCGGTAATTTGGATGTTAACAATAGACATCAATAGAAATATAAAGCAACTTACAGTTATGGTAAAAGTTTACATTAATAGCTGTGAAACACACAGGCAGCTAGAGGCTAGAGGCAGCTTAATAAGTGGTTGTTTTAAGACTCAAAAATGGGCCATATAAAGACAGGTCTTGAGTTATGTTTTAATAATGACTGTTTTTCCAGAAGTTTTTCTATTTACACATTTTAAAGAAAAGTTATATTTCCCTTGAATGTTTTATGCGCAGTGATAAAATAAAACGGAGTACTGTTTCTATGAAAATCGGAAGTTGACCAAAAAACTCCAAGCAAATCAACTCTTCCTCCTTTTTCTCCCTCTTTGTCCCTCTTCCTTTCTAAATCAGCTGAAGGAAAAAGTCAGGATAGCCTTACTCTAAATACAGTCTGGCTGTCTGCCATTCAGAGGCTGGGCACGCCAGAGCTAAAATAATCTGATTTCAAACCATTGCAGTTAGGTTGTTAAGAAAAACCTAACAACTTTCTGGTTGGGTTTATGTTTGCAGATTTAAGAAACTGTTACGTGACCATACAGATTGGCATATTAGTTGCAATTTTAGATCTAATACTTGCAGATAAAACTTGAAAATTAAACCATAGGAACGCCTCTTTAACTTCAAATCCTAACCTTTGGCTGAGTGCAGCAGGTGCACTGAACCATTTCAGTAACACAACAGGTTATTTTGTTAAGTTCCCGAGCACTAAATGATTTGATTTCAAAGGAAACCAAAACAGCTCACAGTCATGCTTCACACCAGAAAACAGTTTCTTCCTGTGATATGAAACACCCAGCAAGAATCTTTTGTCGTGGAGGGGAAGGGTGGAGATTGGAATAGTGTTGGGAGGAAGGAGATTTAGTCACTCACAACCACAGCACTCACCCACTCACTGAGATGGAGAATTAAAGCGATTAAAGTGACATGAAATACAGTTAGAGTTATGCGGTTTGAGATTTAAGAGATTAGAGATTAGAGCTTCAGCCAGTATTGACTCTGTCTGCTCTCCTCCCCTCTCTTCCAGATATGTGGCATGTTAGTGTGGATTCTGGTTGGGGGTACAGACTATTTTCATCTGCCTGCTCTCTGCTGGGTGATGTTTCTTTCCATCTTGTTCTGGATTCTAACAGTTAGCCTGTTTATAATTTACCTCACTGGAGTCCACAACAGGATACCACAGGTCCCCTGGACCACACTGGTAACTCACAGACACATGCAAATACTGCACAAACAAGCTGCTTTACTCTTTTTGTTAAAAACTATTTTTCCAGAATTTTGCAAATTGTTTTTAAAACCCGTAATTCTCTGTCTTTGTCTCTATCAGTCACTGTGCATTAATTGCATTGCTACTGCACTATATCTTGTGACAGCAGTAGTAGATGCTCTCTCCGTCAACCAGGACGTCAGGGGGCGACACAACTATAACTGCTGGGCGGCATCAGCGGTAAGAGCACCTACTATTTTTTTTAAAGACAAAAAAGAAAGAAAGAATAGCAGAAAGCTATAAATGCAGCATTTCTACAAACACAGCGACTGTAGCTACCATGGAGATTATTGGTCTAAAGTAGGGCTGGGCGATATGACCCAAAATTCATATCTCGATATTTTTTACCTGGACGGCGATATAAGATATATATCTC